CGGTAAGCTCCTTTTTTCCCCCTTTTCTCATCATCTCGTGGCTCTGCACCCGTGCAAGGCTGTTTGCAAGCTCTGTTCATCTGCAGAGGTTCCTGCAGTGGGGAGATCGCGTGTGCTCCACAAACGATGCAGGGTTTGATGCTGAGGAGGTCACTGGGCGTTAATCTCGGTGGGAGTTTATAGCCCACGGGCCGCTTTGTGCCATAGCTGAAGCTTGAGTTTCTGGAACAGCTTTATTTTCAATCCTGGCTTGCATTGCCAGCAGAAGAGACCAGGGGGCTGATGTCACAGGGAAAAACAGAGCTAAACACAGCTTTTTCTTAACCTAATTAATCAGACTGGATATTTAGCCTAACTGGCAGTTCTCAGAGGTCAAATGGGTGATGTCCTTTAGAAACTACTCCCAATCCCCTTCTGTTTGCTCAGGACAGCAGGTGTTTGGAGCAAGACAGGAGGTGTCTGTGCACAGAGCTCAGTGTCTCCTCCCAGCTGAAGCAGGAAAGTGACAGCCACTAGAGAGGGACAGAGTCCTGCCATTGTCATGGCAAGCAGGAAAGCAGCAGTGGGGGCTGCTTAGATGGGTGGCCTGGCTTGATCTAGATTCTTTTCTTTTTTTTTTCCCCAGGAGAAGGAGAATCGGTGGAGATGTTTCCGTCCCAGCTGTGTGGCTGGAAGGTGCGGATTGATGGCTGCGATCTGCAGAATGGTTGATGGAAGATGGCTCATTCGGTGGGAAATGCCAGCTCGCTCCCGGCTTTGCCTGGGGGAAACTGGGAGCTTTGGGAAAGTGGGGGTGGTTTGGGCACAGCCCAGCTCCATCTCTTTGTAACAGCTCCCTTGGGAAGCATTTCCACCCCCATCATGCGTCTCCTTGTGAGATTATCCCAGTGCTGGCACGGGATTGCGCTCCCACAGGATGTAACATTCCTTGTGGCAATACAGGGAGCTGCTGTTGCAGTGGGGTGAAAGGATCGTGTGGAAGTGAGATGGGAAAACCCAGCTTGCATTGCAGGGTATTTGCAGGGGTTTATTGCAGCCCGTTTCAGTGCAGGATGGGTGGGTGTTTGCTCCCCATCACGAGTCGTAAAGGAGCGTGGATGGAGTCTGGCTGTCAGCAGGAGATGGGCTGACGTGCAGCTATTTACTTCCCTAGGATTAAGAGGAATTTAAGACACCAAAGTCTCAAAGAGGACCTGAAGCTCTCAGAGGAGCTTCGCGCAAATTGCAGCTTTACCCAAATTTCACGCTAAGCATCATATGTACAGAAAGCTCCTTGCTTTGGTGACCAGCAGAGCGATGCACGCTGTGCTCTGCTTCCCCTGCTGCAGCCTCTCCTCTAAATCCCTGCTCTCCATTTCCAGCCTAGTCCATTAGGACAGCACAGAAATAACCCAATGAGGAAAACGGATCCTCTTCTGCACATCCGTTTGGGACTTGCATCGGGCAGCAGAGCCAGGGCAAGGAAGGCGCTGGGGACCCACACGGGATGCGGGTGCCTGAGCCGCGTCCGCTCCACGTTGGACCCACGGGCGAGAGGCTGCAGCCGTGAGCTCTTATACATGGGCCCAAATTAAATTGCCTTCTCATTTCCTTTCAGATCGACTTTCCTACCTGCCCACAAAGTTCAACACTGCTCTGGTCAGAAACCCAAGTGACAGAGAGGTGGTTCAGATGCTGGAGAACTGCGAGAGAAAGGGAAAATGCTACTGTGTTTCCCAAGTGGAATATTACTACAAAATTGTCTGCGGGACACAGAGAGGAATGGCCCAAGGTTGGTGTCCTGCAGCTCAGCCTGCCCTCCCGGACGGCTGCATCCGCACGCTGGATCCAAGCGGTCCAGCAGATGCTCTGGCACAAGCGGCTTCACCTCAGGAGAGCCAAGTGCACCCTGGCCACAAACTATTGCTGCAAAAATCACGTGTGTAAATTATTATACTGGAGAATATGTATTTCACCGTCCCAAATTTGTTCACACGCTAGTGCCGTGAAGTAACAAACTCTTAATTTTTTTGCAGTGAGAACTTATTTTCAAAACAATTAAGGAAACAGATATTTATTTAAAATATGCCCTATGCTCCAATAGTAACATTTCATTTTGGCAGGGACAACTCCCTGCTTCAGGACGGGTTTTGTGCATGGGTAACTACATCTCGGAAAGCCCAGGGGGCTGCATGGGGGGCAAAATTCTTCTCCCTCCACACTTGCCCCTGTTACTCCAAGAGCCGCCTTGGGCTGTGTATTGGGGCCAGGGCTGCAGGTGGAGGGCGGCCGGCCCGGGTGCTGCAGGGGATTTTCATGCCTTTGTTTTGCAAATCTTTGCAGGAAATTGATGTGGGAAGGTGCTTGGGCAGCTGCTCCCGGGGGAGCCCTGCTTGCTTAGGTAAGCACAGCTGCCGGGATCGCCCCCCCGCCGGCCACGCGGGCTCTCGGATGCAGCCGGAGTCTCGTCCCAGCACGTCTCATTCCGGGATGTGTCCGCACACAGTCAGGTCTGAGGGGCCTCTGGGAGCCTTCAAGCCTCTGTTTGTAGCATCTTTGTGGTCGTGGGGCAGGACTGGGAGGGGGAACACGGAATGATGCTCGGAGCAGCACCCGGCACTTGCCTGCTTGGGAATTTTTGGGAGCGCAGGGCCCGGCAGCGGTGCTGGGAGCAGCATCTCCATCACACCAAGGGGTAGAGCCCTCGGGGTCGCTGCAGGCTCGCTCAGCGCGTGCAGCTGGGAATGCTTTCGGAGCTGGGAATGCAGTACATGGCAAGAAGGAGCAAATCCAACTGCAGGGAAATAAAGCAGCCCTGTTCTGCCCAGGCTGGGAGGGAGGAAGTGGTTTACAGAGCAGGGAGCAAGGCATAAAAACTCCCCTTTGGAATGTCCCCCGGCAGAGAGCTGCCTCTCTGCTTCCCCTCCCTTGCCCAGGGTGTCTGTCCTTTCTCCAGGTGGTGACAGGCAGTGTCCGGGTGTAGCGTCTGGGGGTACCAACAACCGGGGCAGGGGCTTTTTGATCCACGTTCATCCCCTGAAGCAGGCAGGGCCCCAGGGTGTCCAGAGAACCCGCATGAGCTCCTGGCACAGCCCGGAGAGCCCTGCCAGACTGTCTGTACTATATGTAAATGAGAGAGGGCTATTTTATGAATTAAAGGTAACTGAAACAGGGGGCATATAAATCAGCTGCCCGCAGAATATTTGGCAGCTTCTAAAATAAACAGCAGGGGCAATTTGCAGCTCCTTGGGGCTCTCTGATACCCAGGTCTGTGCAGGCATCCTGCAATGAGCCTGAGTCTGGCACAGCCCCTGGGCTGCTCCCATTTACAGAAGGGGAAAATGGGAGAAAAGAAGGGAAGGGGCAGCACGCTGCAGGCAGAGCTGGGGACAGAGGTGTCCCCTCTGCACGGCATCTGGCCCTGGGGTGACCAGCATTATCCAGTGGGATGTGCAGCGCTGGCTGGCACCGGGAACGTGCCTATGCAAAGGCTTTGAACAGTTTCCTTTTCCGATTAATACCAGCCTGTGCCACATGCCTGCAATCACCTCCTTGTGTATTCGGGGTAATTAACAGCCCTTTCACCCTCCAAACATCAGGTTGGAATAAATTAAAGCTGCCAACGGGTGCTGCAGCCTGCAGTTTGTCTCCTAATCACATTAGCCTGGAAGCAACTGGGCCTTGCAGCCGCAGGGATCCTGGCCGGCTTGGGATGGAGGGAGACAGCGCCTGCTTCCCGGTGCCTTCCCGATCCGCTGGGAAGGGCCGGTGTCTGAGGGCCTCAATCCCAGAGATTTCCCTATTCCCAGGTCAATTTAAGAGCTAACTGGCTTTTCGAATCCCGCTCCTTTTATCCGCTGTGCCAGC